CCCGTTCGGCCCCGGCGTGGAGGCGAACCTGCCCCAGGCTGCGAGCGATCCGTCTTTTATGTCTGCAGAGACAGACGCGTGCCAGCGCGCTGCGCTGCCTGGGAGGATGAGCCGCCCCGACGCATCCCTGCTGCTCCTTGCTAGCTCGGCTCCCTGGGTGCCTGACCCGCGGCACGGAGAGCAGCCGCAACCATATTGGATTAGAGCAGGGGTCTCCGGAGCGTTCGGATCCTGCGAGCTCCGCGACAGTCCGTCCCCAGGCAGAAGAAGCCCTTGCTGCGGTTCCCCTGAGGGAAAGGCAGGCAGGCGGGGGGCCCCGGCGGGGGGCCTGGTCGCTGCGGGAGAGGGAGGCAGCCGTAACCTGAGAGAGGGTGAGGCGGCTGCAGGGGAACAGCCCGGGGGGACGGGCGCTGCGGAATGGCGCAGGAGACAAGAGGGGGGGCCTGCAGGCAGCGCAGGAAAAGCGCTCACCCAGTTAGATGTGGGAGACAAATCTGAGTGGAGAGAGAGGCCTTGTTGCATCTGCTCACAGAACACTTTCTTACAGGGCAGCAGCTTTCATTATAAAGGTGATGACTTTCTTCAGAGAGGTGCGAAGTCAAACGCTTCCTTCCTTGGGCGCCCCTTGTATCTAGGACTACGTGTCTCTCATCTGCCTCACAGGACTGGTTTTCTCGCTTCCTTGCCTGCCAGACGCCCAGTTGCTTGGTTTGATCTGTGCGCTTCAACCAGTAATTCAACTGGCGTGTGGGTTCCCAGACAAAGGGCTCATCAGTCCCCCTGGGGCCTCATAGAAAGCCTGATAATAATCAGTTCTTGGCTCATTACCAGAGTAGCCCAGGTGCTTCAGGTGCCCATCGTGCAGGGGAGCCTCCTAGACAACAGAGCAAGACTTCAGGAGAATAACTGCAAATATGTGTTTAAAATAACTGTAGTATTTGTTTTATTAACACAACTATAGCACTGTAAAAGTCCAGATGATCTCATGGGGTTAATAGTTATTTCAGCTAGTGTATGGCATCTGCTGTTGTTCTGAAAAAGCAATGTCAAGCATGATAGTCAAGAAAAAGTTCATTCTACAACAGGCATGATTCCATTGCTCAGGGATTTCCCTGTCTGTTGAGGAATATTTTAAATTAATCTGTCTTGGTTTTCCATTTGAGAGGCACAAAAAAGGTCTCAGTCCCTTTCCTGCTATCTCTGAGGTTTTACCAGGATCTGGAAAAAACATGAGCTCCCAGACAGCGTGTATTACTTTATCAGCCCACCTGTTTCTGGAGCAGGCTCGTGGGTGTAGGGCATTGAACTGAACCCGATTTAAACCTCTGAAAATCAGAAAATACAGACGGTAGAGGAAGGGTATCTACTCATAGCAAAGGCAGGAATTCAGGCAGTGTAGGAATATGAGGGAGGTGTTAGAGTAGCAGTATAGGATCCCTAGAGTTTAATCACCTTGACTGTCCAAAGAGCTATGGTTCGTAGTATATTTAGGATTCCATAAAAGTGCTAAGACAAAAAAGGAACAACTTCCAGCAAACCAATAACTTTTTAAAACTGGTAAGCATATAAAGGGAGTGAAATCTATCTTAGAAATGATGTGACTATACATTGTAGAGAGTGAAAGCTCAATAGATGGGAAAAGGGAGATGTGTAGTGGTCTGCTTGTTAAGTTATTGGCAATGCTGTGTAATAAAATTGCCATGGTTTTCAGACACAGCTTTCCAAATCAGGTTAGTAATAAAAGGTACAACCATTTAAATATACAACCATGATTTCCTGTGTACTATAAAAAAAGTCAATAGGAGGAGCAAGGAATGTTTACAAATTCCATACTATTCTTACCTTTACTTAGCTGTAGCAATGCCTGAATAGTAAATGATAGTCAAGTAAAATAGATGAATAAAATTACAACTTCCAGAAACAAGAAAATGATGAATATATCTGAAAAAAAAGTACTTAATATGCAGCCATAGCTTACCTTCAGTAGTCAGACTCACAGTATAACCATAACGCACATACTTGCATTTTTTTTAAACTTTTTTGAGCAGGAGTGATTCGCATGTGCCCTACGGTCAAAGATGTTAGGGTGATATACAAAAGAACCTGACATCTGCTATGCTCAATCATTTCTTCACCTTCATTTACTATGTTATCATTTTGCATTTTACTCATTCATCAGGACAACACCAGACAGTTCACCTCCTACCAAACTGCCTAGACTCTTTGTGGCTCGGTGATTGCTACACCTTGCCACTGACACCAGTTAACGAAAAAGAGACAAAATGGATCCCTTGAAGTTCTTGTTCCAATGCTTTCCTTCTGTTATAAACATCCACTTAAAATTTTATGATTTACTAACAGCAACTTGTATCATGGGAGGGGTTCTGCTAGATTCTTCCAGCTACTCTCCCTAAGTTTGGTATTTAATACTTTGAGTGCAGCTGAACTACATGAAAGTAATTTCAGAAGAGCGGGGGAATAATAGTTATGATCACATAGTAATTTGCTTTAACTCTGTAATTCTTGTGGGGTTTTTTTTAGAAGCCTGACTTTATTCAACTTGGTATTCAAAAGGCTACAACAGACAAGCCTAATTTTGTACTAACAAAGTTTGGTTTGGCCTGGAATTTATTTTAAGACCTTAAAAAGGTCACAACTTCTTGTATTAGTAATATACTGCCTTTACATGTACCACCAGACTCCCTTTTCTGACTTGTGTATAGCCTTGGATTATGATCTTGCAAATGGTTGTGTATTTAAATTTATTAGCGTAAATACAGTATTCTGGATACTCACAACTGTCTGTAGTACAACCATCATTCCCCTAAGGACAAGAACATTTTAGTGGCAGAAATCAGGAGCAGAATTGTGAAAATCACCAGTATTTATTTTTCATTTTGTCTGCTACAGAGAAAGGTTCTGTTTTGGTGTATGCTGAAGTTTTAGCGCTATCAAGGTTTGGGTGTTATTTCCAAAACACACACCATCCAGCCATGTGCCATATCAGACACAGTCAGAAGCAACTGTTTTTTGATTTTCTGTATTGCAGCATTACTTCCC